ACAAAAGAAGGCAGTCTGGAAGACAAGATCAATGGCTTCTCAAACAAGTTCTGCTTAAGCCGCCAGTACCTTTCTCGCACATCTCCCACGGGCGCTGCGCACCAACGGTGCGGCCGATGTACCTGCCCGGCGCCGGAGGCCGAATAGGTCCTCCGTGTTAACCGCCGCGCCTCGGATTTCCAAGTGGGGAAAGCTACCGCTGGTTTAAGCCAAGCAATTGAAACACTAAACACACCTCAAGAATGCATAAAACTCTAGTACTTCAAAAACTTTAGGGCTTGAAACTTTAGGACTTAATAATGTAGCACTGGAGGGACTATTTAAAAAAAAAAAAAAAAAAGGTTCAGACTAGCTTACCGGAACGGAGGTCCCAGACCCGCCCCCACGGTTGTCCGATCGGACAACTCCCAAGGGCAAGTTGTCTACCTCGTACAAAAAAATAGGCGGAGCCCAGTTTCTGTCTCTATAGGGGCTGGGGGGTGTAGGGGAGGTGAAGGGCAACTGGGACAGGGTAGACATGCAATTTTTTTGGGCCAGTGGGTCCTGAAATTTGGGGAAGGGGGAAAGGCCCAATCTGGGCCAGTAGATCTTGAAGATCGTTGGCCCAAATCGGGCCATTTTGAATTTCAAACTTCGCGTGGGTCTGAGCCCTGCGTCGCTCGCAATTTCGGCCCAAACCTTTGGACGTTGGGCGTTGCTTCAGGCCAGTGTGTGCCAGCAGGAGGCCTCCTCATGCCCACAATCTCCTTATCGTCCTCCCTTCTTCTTCCTCTTCCTCCTCCTCCTCCCCCTCCCCCTCCCTTCTTCTTTGTCCTCCTCGTCCTCCTCGTCGTCATCGTCCTCCCCCTCCTGTTTTTCCTCCTCGTCCTACTTCCTTCTTCTTCCTCCTCCATGTCTTTCTCCTCCTCCTCCTCGTCATCCCCCTCTTTGTCGATCTCTTCCCTCGCCGCAGTGGCCACATCCTGCACCTTCACCGTGGCACCCCGCGAACCCCTTCTGCAGGAACCCCCCGCCCCCCTCCCCATTGCATGGCCAGACAAGCCAGGATCAAGAAACCAATAGAACACATGTTTATGTCCTTCACAAGTGGTTAATGGGGACACCCACTTCCAGCAGTTGTCTGAAAATTGAGGCCTCCGGTAACTCCCCCTCTCATGTCTTTGCCCACAATCTGTATGCCTGTGGAGATGGTGGGATAGGATCTGGAGACGGATCACAGGTAAGGCTAACTGGCCTTGGTCTTCCTCCTCTTCCATGTCATCTTCCTCCTCGGCCTCCCCCTCCTGATCTTCGTGCTCCCCCTCCTGTTCTTCCTCCTCCTTGTCCTACTTCCTTCTTCTTCCTCCTCTATGTCTTGCTGGCAACAAACAGTACATCGGGTGTGACATCAAAACCAATTTATTTCATGCAGGGAGAAAGGGAGTCTTGTACTTCATGAGGACCCACAGATGCATACGGGAGTGGGAGGACGCAAGAAATAGTCCAGGCAATCATTGACTATATCTATTTTT